TATCGTACCATTTTCATTCTGAAGTGCACCTCTTATCAAGCAGCCGCACCTTCTTATCTCATCGTATCATATCTTCCATGGGCTTACACTCGTCCAACAATTACTGCCTCACACCTTATCGATTGATAACGCGAGGGTAGCAAATCCAGCGTGGAAGCCAGCGTGACTCGCTTCCTTTAAAGGGTTTAGGGTTTCTTCTGTTTTACCTGTACTAAATTTCCTGGAAAAGTGGAGCACGAGGGGGGGGGGCTCCCCACTACGAAGAATAAGGATAAGAGTTTCATCGATTCATTTAACTATACTTCTGGTTGCTGATGTCCTTGAGCATTCAAAACGGAGCCTATGTATGTGACAACAAGACTAAGGCCAGGGAAATCCAGGAGAGGGAATGAACGGCAGGGAGAAGACGAATCACAAATAGCCCACACCCTCTCCCTAAGTAAGGCTCAGTCTCAAGTCCAGTAATTGGCTCACGCACTTAAACGTCCCAACCCCTGCCCCCTCGCCAACGAGATGAGCGCCCACTTCTGATCAGTACAGGTGTGATGTGGAAGTACCTAAAGGTTTCCGCATTTCAGCCTGCTATGGCCCAAGGGAATGGTCCTGAACCAGGAAAATGAACGTCCTTGCCTACAGCTGGAGGAGCTCCAGGGTGGATGATCAGGGGCCGTAGGGTATGCTTCCCCGAAAACTCTCAGGGAGATATTTCCGTGATTGACATACAGGCCTGCAGACATACAGGCGGTGGCATTGCCTTTTCCCGAGTTTTCTGACAGGGAGAAGTCCCTCTCCTACTCGGGGGAGCATACCTTACAGTCTCAGATGCCAAAAATTGTTTAGTGTGTGAGCAGGGTGTGCGTGATGTAGGACATAAACCGGTCCTTATCAAAAGTTCACTTGAAATGAGTCGTTTACTTATATCTTATCCATAGTGTTAGATATCCCAAATGAGTGCCCCAGGTAGTGGCCCTCCCCTTCCCCCGCCAAACTCCATATTCATCCATTCCCCTTTCTCTGCGGACACTGGGTATAGTCAGCTGTGATTGCACGTAGGATGGAAGAGCATGGGAGTAGAGCCGTGGAGTCTGTGAATGTCCTCTGGGGGGTTTTTTGTGCTGTGTTTTTTTTTGTTTTATATACGAGGAATCGAAAAGGATGGCATTACCTTACAACTGTGATTCTTATGTTAAGCACCCATCCGTCGTTAGTCAATCAGATCCCATTTTCTTGAGACACGTTCCGCTTTCTGCGAATAAATACCTCGTGCCGTCTCAATATTATCCTATAGTACATGGGAAAATGTTTCTTGTAGAGACAGCAACCCTTACAACAAGGGAGGTCGTTCAGGGTGTGCCAAGCTTTTTCAAAATGTTCTTGCATGACAGTGGGACACATGGGAACCACAGAACCATGGTTCATTTTTCCTGAACGGCTCCTCTGAATACCAGAAAAGGGTCCCTAGTTCGATTCCTCGTGATGACAAATTTTTGCATTTCGAGTTGACGTTTCAAAATTCGCGCAAAATGGAGTTAGCATGAATAATGAATTCAATATTCATAATTAGGACCATCAGTAACCCTTAAAATAGACTTAGATTAAAAACTGGTGAAAAAAGGTGTGACACCAAAACGGCCACTGTGATGTCACAACTTTTCCACCAGTTTTTTAATCAAAGTCTATTTTAAGGGTTACTGACGGTCCTAATCATGAATATGGTACTAATTATTCATGCTAACTCCATTTTGCGCGAATTTTGAAACGTCAACTCGAAATGCAAAAATTTGTCACCACGAGGAATCGAACTAGGGACCCCTTTCTGGTATTCAGAGAGGCCGTTCAGGAAAAATGAACCATGGTTCTGTGGTTCCCAATGTGCCCCAATGTCATGCAAGAAACCTTTTTGAAAAAGCTTGGCACACCCTGAACGACCTCCCTTGTCAGTGTGCCAGCAAAAGTGCTCTAATCGCTCACCGTAGTCTAGCAGCCGGTCCTTTAAAGCGCGAACGTTCGCGAACTGTTCTTGGAGCATAATCGGCAAAGTTTTTCGTTGGGTGAGGATCGTTCCTTTAGCAATACTGTCTGTTGTCCTTCTGCTTGCGTATGGTCTCTTAGAATGTCTGTGTTTCTCGCAATTCCCAGCATTTTTCGTTTAAAATTCATTTTGTGATAATGAGCGTGAAAGCTCCGTGAGTTTTCCACAACAACCAGGAAATGGAGCGGCTTCTTTGGAACTTGGAATGACTTATTTCTTGACATTGCTCTGCAATTCACTTTCGTGGCAGATATTTGTGCATTATTTCAGGACGTTTGTTTCGTCCGAGTTGAGATTCGTGCATAAGCCTCCGTTTATTCGCTTACTTTCTTATTCGTTCATCGATTCACCCACTAACTTTTTGATCCTATGTTTCGTTTCTGATCTGGATGTACTTTGTATATTTCTAAAGGTGTCAAATTTAGGGGTACTCCTTTCTCTAGCTTTGCTAGCGAGTGTATTTCGGTGAGGAAATGGTGAAGGAAACCAAGTACTATGATGTTCTTGGCGTTCAGCCGAATGCGACAGACAGCGAGCTGAAGAAGGCGTACAGGAAATTAGCGTTGAAGTATCATCCAGACAAAAATCCAGAAGGAGGAGAACAGTTCAAGCTTATTTCACAGGTGAGATCCAACAGAACACACTTCTCAGTCAAGCAGTTGTCAACAAACAAATGCAAATCTCAAGTGCCGTCAGTTAAACCAACTTGTCACGAGGGAAAACTCGAAGGACAACTTCTGCTGAAGACGCGTTGAGTGGCATTGAGGGAGGGCTTGTAATGAAAGGACGTAAAAAACGTCAGAAACAGCGGTTACGACACCTGCTATTACAAGAATAAGCATTCTTTGTGATTTTACTGCGCCCCTCCATAGTATCTCTGTCGGTTTCGTGACTGTAGAAGGGCTAAAATAGCCTTTAACCCACTGACGGCAATGCGATTTTTCGCGTGTCTGCCACGTGCGACCGCACTTTTTTCAGCATTTTCGAAAAATACTACAACCCACCGAATCCTCTGACTTTTGGCCTAGACGAGCGTAAGTTTTCCTTGCCCCAGTAGATTTCGCAGCGAGTCGGGAATATAATACTTTCAATTTTCCTACTCAAATCGTAAAATTAGCTCGATCTAGATCTTTTTTGTGAAAATCTTCTGTATATCATTACTTCAGTTGACTGAAAGAGCCAAAAGCGAGCGAGCAATTTGCATTCTCGAAAATCACTTTCAGAACCCCTTGTGTAAAACATCAATTAAAAAGATAACTGCACGGAGCGTGATCACCATACATTTGGAAATCCTGCGCACAAGAATTATCTTTATGCCTCGTCCCCTACGATACGATCCTGCATTGTCCGACGTGGCAACCACTTGCACCGGTTTCGCGCGTTGAGCCACCATGTCACAGTGGTCTGCTCTCACAGAACATCCTCTGTTGTTTTTATTCTGATCGGAGCAAAAATGGTGACGTTCCGTATTGTCACGAGGCGACTTGAACAATTGGTGTTCATAATCCTCATATGCACCTCTTTTATAATGCTGTCTCTTAAATTTTAAGAATAATGGCCGCACTATAGCGATAGCTTGCTGTACTCTCCTTTATTTCAGCGAATCCCTTTATTTTCAGCGAATCCCTTATTTCAATCTAGTCCACATTCTATAGCCAGATGTCACGTCCTTGTAGCTGCTTGCCCAAAATATCCAACCCATTCCCAAAGCAGTCCGAATTGGTTAGGGCAAGACCTGGCATATCGGTCATTGTATTGAACTTTTTCACTGAGATTTACTTCCTATGTAGTGCGTCGGTGCAGTGCTGATGATTGGCGGGTGTCAAGCAAAATTCAGGAAGAAGAGGGTTCTGAAGCGAGTAGTAAGGTTCTTCGCACGATAAGCAGACCTTTGAATGTGCTGATGGCAGTTGCCACCGTCAGGGCCGAAAGGGTTAAAGCAATCGAGTTCACAAGAGTTTGCGTCATACATGATAGTGTCGTAAATACCAGCACTTTGTATATGGTGTTTTGCCCCCTGTTACTTCCGCCAAACGCAATTATGCAGTGATGCGGGAAGGGTGGACTTGGTGCTTGGTTCATTTTGCTGGTTCTCGCCGTCTATATGACAAAACTGACATTAGGTCTGTGTTGTTATTTTATATCCATTTGGTTAAATTTGTCTATTATAACGAGGCAGAAAGGGTGAATTAGTTGGAAAATGTTGGATTACAGTAGTGTCGGTCTCTACCAGTGGAGATCTCGCTTAGGATAATCCACGATTTCTTGATTCAAATAAAGTGATCCGAGCGAATAATTATTTATTAGCTTGCGGTTAGGATATGGTCACTGTTTGCAATATTGCGATTTTGCGTTTTTCTTTGAGGGATAACAGATCGATCATGCGATCGGGTGTGGTTCACTAGGACAGAAAGCGACTTTTTCCGCGTTTCGCAGCGCGAAACATTTTCCGCTGCGGGAACCTCAGGTCCACCGCTGATCATCAGTGGACCCGAGGTTCCCGCAGCGAAAATGTTTCGCGCTGCGATTTTTGTTGGCACCAGTGACCCCTTGGCGTACTTTTACTTAATCTTTCTCGGAAAGTTGCCGTCCTTGATCTAAGTTCTTTGAAATTGAATCTTTTGGTAAACGAACTATCTGGTGCGTGATATGGCAGCCAAACAATTACGATACAGAAAGCGCAAGGTGGATTGAAAATGGCCGGTACTGGTATTTACTTTTTTCTGTAAGAACGAAAGATCGTCAGAATACTTGCTTGCGGTACGGATACGAAAAAAATTGTTTTGGTGCATTTCAAAGCACAACTCTGCTCTTACACCCAAAGCCCGTTGGATTGGTGTCAGGTGAACTTGCCAGGAATGCTTTCGGGAACATTGGAGCGACACCAGCCTTGAGCGCCGCAGCTTTGTCATGTTAAAGGGTTCAAACGGTATTCTCGAATAGATTCAATCTCACGGCATTACCTTTTGATGCTATCCCTGAAATAGATCTATTGACCTCTCTATAGCCCCTTTCATAGTCAACCGTCTGATCTTACCAATTCACAGCATTTTATACGTATAGATGGTCCGATCGCTACAAACAGACGATCGATGCGTATTTAGTGCTGTGCGATTGTTGCGATCGCTGCAATCGGACGACAGATTATGAACCCTATTAGTCGAAATGTGAGGTGTTTATTGTAGCAGGAATTTCAACCTCACAATCAGTCATCGTATGTAAGGAGAAGTTATGACATGGTTATACTCATCTGCTTCATGGCTCGTCCTAGTTAGCATGTTTGTTCTGATCTTCGAGCTCCACTTGTTCAACAACCCCGCGAAACCTTCGTTGGAAAAGTTCTGACGCGCT